TGGGGGATGCTGCGGGGTGGGATGCTGTGGGGCACCACCGGGCCTATGTCATGTTGGGGCACTTCTGCACTCTCAGTCGCTCCCACGCTTCCCCGTCCCCCCACGGCCACCCTGTGTGGTCACTGCGTCCCCTGCAGCAGCGCTGGCATGTGCCACCCCTGCCTTGTGCCCCTGACACCCCGTGGGATCCCGTGCCCCTGTCCAAGTGGGAGCTCGGCTGATGCTTAGGCGGCACGGGAATGGCCTTGGGAGTGATGCCACCAGCCTGGGTCGTGCAACACCAAGGCTGTAACCAGCACATGGGCACCCATCCCACGTGGTGGATGGGTTGGGAGGGCCAGGGGACGTTTGTCCCTTGTGCTGGGGGCAGAGGCTGTGTCACCTGGGGGAGTGGCACTAGCCCACCCTGCCACTTGCTTCCTTGGGCCCTGGCCCTGGGATCTGAGCTGGTCACATAAGGCTGTCCTGCTCTGGTCCATTAGCACCCCCGTGCCAACTACCGCAGGAATGGTGGGCACTGGGTGAGGGGCTTTTCCCGAAGGCACAGGGAGCCCCACTGTGGCTGATGGGACTTTCTGGGGTGTTGGGCGGAGCAAACGCACCCCATACCATGCAGGTCCCTCCAAGAGCTTCTCCCTGTGGGCCTTCTTCACACTAAAGCCGAATGCTGAGCCTGGTGCAGGGAACTGATGCTCCAAGTTTTTCCTCTGGATGCCTCGCGAAGCCCTGGCTGCCTCCTGCGGGTGACCCTGGGGGGGCACATGCCCCTCCAGCCCAGAGCAGCACGGGTGGGACGTGCTGCTCGTGGTCCTTACAGCCAGAGCTGCCCTGGGAGGGGGGTTTCAGGCGCTTCTTCTGTCCCCAAACATGACTTGCATCCGCCTGGGGGACGCTGTATCCCTTGTCTGCGCAATGGCAGGGTGAAGCCGGGCAGTTGCATGTGGGAGCATGTGGTCCCTGCGGGGCCCTGCCGGCCGTGCCTGGGATGCCGAGCTCTGAGGGGGGACCGGGTGGGTGTGGGCACGTCCCACCGGGGGAAGACAGTGCCATTTGTGCCTCTCTTGGCTTATTGCCCCCTCCCAGGAGGGCACGGAGAGCTGGGATGGGGACTGGGTGCTTGGGGGGTGACCTGTGCTGGGAAGTGGCTGGGTGAGAGGTCTGTGGGGGGGGTGATGCTCTTGGTGGGCGACCCTTGAGGTGGGCAGTGCTGCCCCGTGGCTCCCCCCAGGTGTCCCGCTCTTTGCCCCGGCGCCTCTCTGCTGGGATCATCCTTTTTGCAGCCTGGCTGTTACGTGGCCGGCTTGGGTGGGAGAGGGGTTTTCTTACCGGTGACGGGGCCTATTTTTAACCTGAGCTGTTTACGGCCACTGGCGGCAGCGATTTGAACAGCGCGGTGCCGCCCGCTGCTGTGGCTGCCAGGCGGGAGGGCTCCTCGCCGGCTGGGGGGGGACCGACTGAGTTCTGTCCCTTCTGAATTTATCTTGCCTTCTTTCTTCCCTGCTGCTTCCTCTCAGTCCTCAAAATGGGGAGGGAGGAGGCAAGAAAAGACATCTCTGGTCCTGCTCACTCACAGTCCCAAGGCAAGCAGAGCAGAGAGATCCCAGCCTCTGGCCGGCAAGACACACCTCTGGTGACAGCAGAGGTGAGTCCCAGACTTAAGTGCAGAGCCCAAACCGATAAATTATCCCAGACTGATAAGACAATGCCCTGAGACAGCAAAAGTTGAGGAAGTGGTGGCGGCACTGGGGAGCGGCATCAGGAGAGGCTTAGGTCAGGGAGAGCATGGGGCAGGGACGTGGCTGAGGTTCACAGAGCAGAGGTGAGGTGGGCATAAAGGGGTCGAGGTAACAGAGGGGAAATCAACAGCATTTGAGTCTGGGGTAAGCAGAAGCAATATATATCAGAGAGCCCTGCTCACACACACAGCCCCTTAGTGAATGGATTGGACCTGGAGCGGAAAATAATATAAAGCCAGCAGGGTGGTGGATGGACAGAGATACCCTATGGCTACATCCCCACTGCAGTGCCTCTGTGGGGCTCAGACTCACCCACGCTGACACCTCTCCCAGAAGGGCACACGTTTGGAGAAGCACTGTCCCTTTAAAAAATGTGAATTTGTCCAGAAATAATTATGCAGCATAAACACAGAAAAATCAACAGGGTGAATTTCGAACTAATAAAGATTTAATCTCTAAGTCATGAGACTGCGTTTGTTAGGAAAATATACGTACCCCTGAGAATTCAGCTACGGTTGCTATATTACACACTGTTCAGCAGCTCACTGGGCATTTTTCCAAATCCGTTTATTTTTAACCAGGCGGGAGGGCTCCTCGCCGGCTGGGGGGGGACCGAGGCCTCCCCCTGGAGCAGAGCGGGATGAATGTCATGAACCCCTTTTTACGCTGACCGAGGTACAGGGGTGACTCCACAATGAAATGCTTGATGGAGCCGATCTGCCCAAAATGCCCTGCCAACACATCGGTGACTTTTCCAGACTTCTTTTAAGCTCCAGGCGGTGGCCAGCGAGGGGCCGGGGGAAGCCCAGCAGAGCCCGGCGGCCATCGGGTGACACCCAGCACGACCATAGGCTGGTGGAGAGCCCCGATGCCGGGGTGGAGGGCTCTGTGGCAGAGCAGCCCCCCCAGAGCCTGGGAAGCACAGCAGTGTGATGGGGAAGAGGTCCCGCAGGAGCAGCCACAGCCGCACTGGACTGGATCAGGAAGTGGCTCTCAGTGGGGTTGGGGGTACCGGGCAGGGGGACCTGGCCCTGGCAGCGGGAGCCCCCCTGGAGCATGGACTGGGCTCATGCACTCGCTTGTCTTTTTCCTGCCTTCTAAAGCCGGGATGAGCACTGGCTCCTGGTGGGCAGGGAGGGCTGCTACCCCCGGCTGGTCCCTGGGGCTGGCCCCGGCTGCCGGCTGGGAGCAAGGATGCAGGGAGGCGGGCAGCTGCGGTAATCCCTGTTGTTGTCTCTCCCACAGGTACGCCATGGCACTTTCCAACAACCACATCTGCCCCGTCCACAACTGGTAAGGCCTGGGGGGGTGGGTGGGGGGGGTGGCAGGGGCCCTTCGCCCAGGACCGTCTCGGGT